CCCCCTTTATCAAAGGATCCAAAAACAGCCTTCTTGTGTAGCCACATGCCAGTCACTGAATTGACAAGTCCAACTCGGGGGTAAGTAATCCTGGCACTCCAGCTGTGGTGACTGGTACAAGCTGCAAATCCCGAGGCACTGCAATGGGAATTGTAGTTTTACCACAGCTGGAGTGCAGAGGCTGCCTACACCTGGTTAATTGACAGTTAAAGAAGTTGTTGGAGATGCCTATGTAAAAACTTTATAAATTCCTGAAATGTCAATATAAGGGCAACAGTATAATGAGAAAAAACAAACCTACAACTTTTATCTTAAAAAGCAGTCATTGCGCTCCAGTCCCATGACTTTGCCTAGCTTGAGATGTCACAAGTCTGCTGCAGCAGGAGGAAGCATTTCCTCAGACTCCCCTCACCCAATACTAAAATATTGTAACAAGTCACCAGGTGAGTGGATGCAGCAGGGGCTGATCTGTGTCAGACTTTTGTGAACGCAGCAAGGAACTGCAGGATTTACTTGACCGTCATCCTAGAGCGGCATCTCAGTCAAGGAAATAGATGCTGACCCTAGATAGTGCCTGAACAAAGATGGCACTGGTAGTCTAATAAGAAAAGCAGATGAAGGCAATGCCAGGAGAGTACTGTGATTTCTGTCAGAGGTAACAAATACATGGAAGTGTTACACACTAAGTATCCTGCATGCACTTAACATGAAATATATATCTGATGCTAGGTGTATATGACCCCATAGTACTGAAAGTCAACTCTTGTCACCTTACATTATAGCTATGGTCTGTGTGTTCTATGTGTTCAGTAAAGCCGGGTACACATAGAATACGATCCCATAATGATCACCCGATACGCACACTGCTCAGCACATTGGTACAGTAAGAGCTTTCTTTCCTCGTCTCACTTCACACTATCTGCTCCCACAGCCATCAAACTGACACCCAGTGCTTTGTTCTAATCAGGTGCAATCTTTCCATTATCATTCAATACATTAATGAGGGGAATTTATCAAAGCTGGAGCAGATTTGCACTGCAGCCAATCAGCTTATCTGTCTCATTATCAAATCTTACCTGAGCAAACTGAAGAGAGGTGCTGATTGGTTGCCATTGGCAACTGCTCCAGATTCTGATAAATCCCCTCAAATGTGTTTTCCTGTGAAACTCAATATAACCTGCTTCTGAAATTGCTAATTGCCTGGCTGTATCTGCCTTCCAACGTCTCAGTCACAGCTCCTCAACAAACACGCAGCAGGCAGTTAGAATATCTGATCAGTAGATGTGTTACAGCTAAGGTACATTCAAAGTACTGAGAGCACTGGAGCAGCATGCCGGCCAGGAAACGGACATAAGAAAGGGTCAGCAATGGCATTTCTCTCAGGACACGTTTTCTTTAACATCTGCAGGTTACCTGAGGCGTAAGCAGTAAATTCATTCTTTCAGAGTAACTTAAAAAGTCACATGACTGGGGCTAGTGACAGAGCAGACATTACAATACACCAGCCTCTCAATGTTTACATCGTCATTCCTCCAATGAGAAGAGTGCTTCTGATGTGAAGGGGGGCTCCTGATGTGAAAAAGGGGGAGTCTAATGTAAAGAGGGGCTCCTAATAAGAAGGTGAGCTCTTGATGTAAAGGGGAACTCTGATGTGAAGCAGAATGTGAACCCCACATTTTTTTGCGGTTTTGCTTGGTGTTCCCCCTTAAAAATCATACCTGGCCCCTTGCGTAGGATAAGGGCCGGTATAGATTTTGGAGGGACCACACCTCATTTTTTTACATTTTAAACTAGGGTGCTCTGAGATTTTACAAACTTTAAAAGGGGTGCCATGAATTAACAAAGATTGAGAAACACTGCAATACACACACACACACACACACTGACAAAGCAGACATCACAACAAACACACCCCACCAGGACTGGCAGAAGGTTTACAATGTACTCCTCGCCAGCCTGACAGACGGTTTACAGTACATTCCCCGCCAGCCTGACAGAAGGTATCAGCACACTCCTGCAGTTTCCTTGATCCCTGCAGGGCTGGGGTTAGTGTATATTTAAGATGAATTACAATATGACAGAAACATCACCCAAACCATATCACTGAACACATTCAATACCAATAACAAGTGCACACCCTTGTCAATTATTCTGGGGGGGTAAAGCTGGATTTTCAGTCCGCCTCTACTGTTCCCATGAGATAAGCTAGCTGCGGGAGTGGCTTCCCAGTCACACACCGACACACTTAAGCTAAAGAGCATGTTTTGCTTATCTGTGGAAAAAGAAGTAACAAACCTCTTCGGCAGACATTTGGAACCGCAGAGCATTTGGTAACACGCTGCCGTACTCCCAGCGGAGAGCTCGGATCCGAAGCAGGCGGTCATAGCTGAAAGTTGGAAACCACACAGCTGAATAATGCATGGTGGGGGTAGAAAGCTGCATCACTCCTCCCTAATACAAATCTGTCTGGGTGAGCACATTAGAAGCTACATCTCTGCTCTCATAGATTGTAAACACTCTT